TTTAAATGTCATTTAATAATGTAATTGACTTAAGGATTTAAATAATATTTTGAATGTCAAAGTTCATGTAGTTAGATATGGTTTAAGAAATAGTGTAGTGGCAAAGTCAACTAATCAAGGGATAATTAGCCGAGAGCATTTTTGGCAGCCTTTTGAAAGATAAAACATACTGTTTTATATGATATAAATCAATTCAACTTAAAAGACATAATGTTCTAAGTCACTCTGATTTTAACAGTGTTTGAAAAAAGTTACAAGTACTGTTCTTTATCCAAATGTTTTTTAGGTTTTAAGCAAGGAAATATTAAAATACCCATATCTTTAACGATATTGAGATGTTCTCTCGAAATCACGTTTAGTTGTTTTTAAATTTTCAAAATCCGACAATAAATAAAAAAAGTTATGCAATACTAAATCTTTACATGCTTTTTTCTCAAAAACAACAAATTGGCACTTAGATTAAAACGTTTTTCAATCGACGAAAGAATGACTAAAACGATAGTGCGCACAGAAACCTTCCGTTTTAACTGAATTTGTTTGTTCCACTAGTCTATTTTTTTTTCTCATCGCAGATCATGCATTGCAATGCTGACATTCAATCTTTGGCACAGTGCTTCAAACAATCCTAACAACAAGGAGTTCTCAAAACAGCTTACAACTAGCGATGTAAAAGTTAGAATTTTTTTTATTTTGTTATCCAACAAATTACAATGCGTTCAACGTTTGAAAGTAGCGTTGCCTTATAGAATTGTCAACAAAAGCACAATCACAAATTACGCGGATGAATATCACATTAATCAATGCAAATCGCTCGGCAATTTCCGTACAGCTTCGGATTATTGTGATCGGAATTAAACGCCCCTTATGAACATTTTGATATAAACTTTGTGAAAAATAAAGTAAGGATGTTATGTTGACTCAAGGACACGGACGAATTTAGGGCAGTCGATGATCGATAATCAATTTCTCCATCCGATAATTTCATCCACGTAAACAAAATGCTATTTTCATCAATGTCAATTACCGAAGACTTCAGAGCGTATTACACAAATAAATCTGACTGTCGAGTAGTGGAATATATACATAACGGACTGTTTTGGATAAATTATTTACATCAGTATTAAACAACAGGTTTATCATGAACAAAATACCTCGAAATTAAAAAGGATTACAAACCCTAAATGGAAATTCTAAATTTAGAATAATTTGATTTTATTTAGGCTTTCTTTTTGGTTAATTTTTCAGCAACATAGGTTGCCAATTTATTTTCCCCGTAATTGGTGCAGTGGGGTCGGAGAGCCATCCCCTACTGTACCTTACATTATCATTTCATGGCATATATCATCATATTATATTTAAAACATTTAAGTGACATTAAGCTCTTTTTTTTCAATGTCAAGTTGAGTTTTATTGACTATAAATTTCAATATTGACAACAATAGTGGTGCTTGACAACAGCTGATATAAGAAAAAGTTTTGGATAAAATATATATCTGCCTTAAACATAAAATAGATAAATACAGAATCCCTAAAGAAAGCCCAACATGGCAAAATTGAAAATGTTGCAGGCTCGGTTTGATTGAGCCTGTTCATGGACGGTACTGGAAAGTGCAAGTTACCGTCCACGCCCGCTAGCACCGGCTTAAGCAGAATTCAACATTTAAACATGAAATAGTAAAATTTTGAATTTAGAAACATCCGCAGATGTGTTCATACGGCGGTTATCATGGAACCTTCAATGCGACACTTCCGTGCCATTCCATGAAAAGCGACGTAAGGTCCCCAAGTAATAGACTGCCCCATACTTTTATCAAATATAATTTTTCCCTCGACAGATATTTCCAAAATGTTCCTTGAGCCATACGAGTTACGGAATATATTGAAAAACTGAAACGAATCATGGCAAAAATGTATTTCAACTTTCACTGTTTATTCACTATTTGCTTTGGATGGACATATTGTCACTTTAACTAAATAGATACAATATTGATATGCTAATATAATTATTAATAGCTAAAATGGGGTTTTGTGAATTTTTTTCTGGCTCATGTTGGCAGTATGTAAAGTCATTTTCTCTAATAATATTCATTTTTTTAAGAAGATAGTTTGTGGCTAAAATTCTATGGTTGATTCTGTATTGAAACCAGATCAATGTTGGGTCTTTTGTTACTCTAAAAACATTACTACTGAACCAAAAAAGAAACTTTCGCAAAGTATGTGCCAGTTGTTCAAGGGTACCACTTAGATGTACACATTTATATACATGTAGTAGCTTGTAAAACTCGTTTTGTTTGCAAAATCGGTCAGCTAATCCCCGTATAAAAGCCCGATATGTTTATTCAACGTAAAAGTCGAGTTTCAAAAGGATTGAAAAACTGTACTAATATCTACATTCAAACTTGGAGAAAGTTTCTTTTTTGTTTCAGTATATATATTAAATTGAAATTCAAGTTATTCATATCACCAAAACTTATTAATTCATTTTTCCATTTTAGCAATGAATTTGGATATTCTTCCTTCTTTTTTAAGATTCTATATATAGATCTGCATCCTTTTTTATCTTTATTTATAATAGTGAAACCTTAAGGAATGTCGATATTGAATGATTTCTTAGGTACATGTCTTATATTATTATTCAAAAGAAATTCATTTACTGCAGCTAAAAAAAACCTTGATATTCCAGATAATTAGTTCTAATATTGAATATACTAATAAAATCTTGCCAGGTGTAAAATTCTTTTTCTTGATTGATAAGGTCCCCTAAAAATATAACTCCCCTAGAAACCCATCTGTTATAATAAACACTAGATCCTGCTACTTTAATGCCGGGGTTGTGCCATAAATTGACTGAGTAACTTTGCTGACAAGAATTCACTTCTACATTTGAAGAAATTAAATAAAAGCTGTAAAGCACATCTTTCCAAAAAGGATTTAAATCTTGATGTAATTGTATTCTTGCATAATCTGTACCATACTTATATATATATCATTTTAAAAATGGCATGCACTTTTAACAATATGTAAAAATACAATTAACTGTCAACAGTCTTCTTAGCCATGATGCTTTTAAACTATACATAAAAAACTTGAGATCAACCATCTTAAGCCCTCCAAACTTGTATTCCTTTGATATAATTACATGTATTTCTTTAAACCTTATCTCTTGAATCACTCCATAGAAAATTGAAAAACATTTGCTGGATAATATTTATTTTTGCTAGTGGTGGGTTAGGAATACTCAAAATCAAATGATTTAATTTTGACAAAGCAAGGGTTTTTATAACCACCAATTTGCCGAGTGGCGTTAACACTCTTTTTGACCAACAAGCAACCAACTTTTGAATTTCCTCAATTTTTGAGTCATAATTAATATCAACTATATTAGATAAATCTACTGAAAATTTAATTCCAAGCAGTGTGAAACTGTTATCTCCCAATGATAAATTGTATTATGGACAAAGTATTGTGCGACTGTGTTTTTTTTTACCCAAACCAAATTACTTTTGTTTTCTCCATATTTATATTAAGGCCTGAAATTTTTGCATAAAATTTTAAAGTTAACATTGTATTTTTTAATGATTCTGAAGTGCCATCTAAGAATAAAGTAGTATCATCAGCATATTGAGAGAGTATGTACTCTGTACCATTAACACTAATTCCTTTTATTTAGGCTTTCTTCGTAGAATTCGTTAAGGGTGTGAGATGTCTGGGGTTCAAAACCCAGTCGAGGCAACTATTTTTTTTAAATAAGTCTTCTTTATTAAGGATGTAGCCACAATATGCAAGGATAAAGTGTGACTGTCATAAAAAATGAACATAAATGATTTTTGATGCAACTCTATTCATGCAAAATTCCATATTTATCAAACTCAAACTGTTATCCCGAAACAACCAATTTTCAATCACAACCTAAATTCAAACACATTCTTAATTCTGTGGCACTGATGTCATGCCTGACTAAATTGCATAAAGTCACATGTTGTATTAACTTCAAAACTTGCAGAAATGCCACACTTGATTAATTGTCAGATGTTTTCAGAAAAACAATAAGAAACTGTTTGTTTTAAGTGACACAATATAAATTGTCCAACTTTCACTATATCAAAATAGTCACTTGTTTAAAATAGTGGTAAAAAATTTTCTAAGCAAGTTAATTTTTTTATAAAGTATTGGCTAAAGAGTTTTACCATTTACCTCAGTCCTAGGTGTATTTAAAACATTTATTTATATGATGTACCACTAAATATTCATCAGACTTTACACAGGGGTCCTTATTAATAAAATCTTATATTGTTATCAAATTTTTTCATGTGATGATTGTAGAATAATTGTTTTGTAAGCGATACCAGCTGGCAGATCTAGACAAGTTTCCATATTTGCTAATATTATAAAGTGGGGAAGGTAAAATGGCTGTAAAGATTGGATGCATTTATCATTTTGCACCCCAAATAGCGTACTAAGAAGTGACACCTTTAACTGCCTTTTTATACACATTAACAGTAGTCATACCAATGCATTGTGCTGTACATATGTTATAACATTTAGCGTAAGTTTTTTAAATTCTTGAAAAAAACTGTTGAAAATCGTTGATTAGACTATTGTGAACTTTTCTACAATTTTTAATGGCCCTGATTTATCTTTAACAAATTTTCCATGGTGATTACCCTGCTGTTTGAATTTAGGTTAAAATATTCCTTGGATTAACCCGAGTTGGTCATATTGTTTTTATTGAATTTCTAAAAAAGATCAAGACTTGTTGAAAATCTACCAACCTGAAAATGAATAAGTGTTAATAGATGCATTAATAGCTAAAATAAATTTAAAGTATAATTTCCCCTTCCATTTATTATTGGCTAAAAACAGCTTAACTGATTGAATATTGGTTGTCCCGGGATATAGTAAAAAACCTAGACGCACTCGCTGCATCTCGGTGCCCTGCAAGATGAATTATTGTATATAAAAATAAACTTATATATACATGAAAATACGTACAGATATACAGTACGATTTAGATTGCAAAGATCAGAAAATACCATAGAGCTTGCGGCCCTTTGATTTACTAAAGTAAGTGTAGGAAAAAATTTAGTGGTGTAAAATTTATCTATAATTTAGTAGTGTTAGTTTACAACACGCATGCGCTGTAAAATTAAAGAAAATCAGTATGGCGGGAACTATTCCAGGATAATATTTTCTCAAAATTTGAAGAAATTGTGGTAAATACCTTGTGAAGTTTGTAACCAATATGAATTCCTAATATTGATTAATAAATGTAAAACAGCTGGTTCTATTGTATGGAGGTATGATTATCAAACTATGTGTGTACCGAAAACGAAAGTAGAAATGGCAAATTATCATGATTATCTCCTATGATAGAGTGGGTGGACCAATATTCGGCGTATACAAATTCAAGAATAAACTGGTTTCCTAGCAGTTTCTGCCCACAAATCGCACTTTTTAACAAATAAAATAAAAATCAGTATATGGAGGGGCACAAAACTTTTGACACCTGACAAAGTTTGGTACCTGTCAAGCATTGCCATGTGTTTAATGTTGCACTTTCATTTTACTTTCTAGTTTGAATATAGGCCTGAAATGTAACGCCTTTGTTCACCTTTATTTAAAGGGAAAGACAAGGTTAAAATAAAAACTTGATTTCAGAAAAAGAATACTATAAATAATAAGTCTGCAAATTTTCTGCCGCCAAATAATAATATTAAACGAATGATAACAAAATTTAAATCGCTAAATCACCGATTTCTACAAATCGGTTAGCGCGGCCATGTTTGTGTATTGGCCGTATAAAAACAGGTGCGCGTGATGTCATTTCCCCACAACTTTTAGATTCATGATAAATCTAGTTGAATCGTAAGGAAATATTAATATAATAAAGTATTGATCAGACAATTTAATTTGTGTAGAGGAGATTTTTTATGGTTCAAAATACGTAACAATATCAAAAAAAAAATAATAATAAAAAATAAAGAAACGTACGGCTAGCCAAAAGTTCTAGCCGTACGTGAGTCACGAACGACTAGCCAGGACGCACTGTATTGTCTAGCCGTACGGCAATTTTCAAAATTATATGGAAGTCGAACGTTATAAAATTGTTGATTTTCATGCTTATCATTTGTTGTTTAATTTGAATGAATTATTAAATCCTTTTTGTTTATTTTAAGCACATGGATCGAATAAAAAATGATCGGAGTGGAATAAATAAATAAAAAGAACATTGAATGGAAAAAAACGGTGAAATGCAAAAATAATTATATAATTTTCAAAACAGTAGATAAATATCGAACATAAAAGCATAGTCAATAAATTAACTAGCCTTAATTAAAACCTATCCAGGGACTGACAATAGAATTTTAGAATGCCTTTCACGGAACATGCAAACTTTCCTTGATACAGTACTTGTAATTGTCGCAATTATCAAGAGCCTAACAACAATCATTTTCAGTGTTTGTTGTTGTTTTTTTTTCATATAAAAGGTGTCGAAAATTAAACTTAATGAAACAAAAAAGGATTATTATCAAAAATTTGTAAACTATTTCAATTGATGTAAATGCAAGCAAAGGCTATTTTTTCTCGACATCTTGCGATGACAAAGATCGATATATATAGCGATCAAGGCGATTAATCTCTAAAAAGTTAACATCCAAAGACAATTAATGCTGTTTCTTGGTTAAAATACTCGCTTAAAGTCATAAAATAACATATGCATTTTCGACTTCCATAAAATTTTGAAAAGTGCCGTACAGCTAGCCAATACAGCGTGTCCTTGCTAGTCGTACGTGACTCACGTACGGCTAAAACTTTTGGCTAGCCGTACGGGCCCGTACGCTAGCCACTTCCATTATAAAAACCCTACTAAAACGTGTTCTTAATAGTACATATAATTATTTTTTTGCAGTTTGATTCTGACTTTCAAATTTAAAGGTGTGAACATATGTTATAATTGATGTACACATTTCAAAAATATAAGCAACTGTTTTAAAAAGTAAATTGTCAACATGTCTGTCAACGTATGATGCTGCGCATCGTAATCGTAGCCTAATATTAACTGCAGGCAAATCATTTTTATTGGCTGCTCAAAAATCTAATTTGCATAATTTATTCACACAATTGCTGGTTCTTACTACTTATGTCTAAGATACTGCGCATTGTCCATTTTAATTGTTCCTAATTTGCACCAAATGCTCCTGTCACACTGTGTACTGACGATTTTATAGCTCCTTGTATGCCTCTGTGCCGACAGACCTTTTGATCATGCACAATGTTGCCCTAATTGGTTAATCACCCTGGTCAAATATTCTAATGACGAAATAGACATCTATTTTTTTACGCTTCATCAGTGAACTGAATGACCTTAGGGGGAATTCGGTTCCACACCTGTCAAATTGTACTGTAGTAAATTACAGCACGTCATAAAATAGCAACACATTTTTTTCAGTTCCCAATAATCATTTTAAATATTAAGTAGATTTATGATTTTTTGTTTTATTGGATTAAATTTACGGTAGAAGAAATGCGTATCTGTCGGGGAAGTAGATAAAGGAATTTGGTAAGTAGATAACGTGGAAAAAAGCTTTGGGGAACTGGATAAACCCGAGAATATGCGTAATTATAGGGGAATGGGCAACCTGTTGCTGTTGGTACCAGTTTTGACTGGGTGCCTAAATAACTTTACGGACATTTTCCTGCGCTTTTCTCATTTTTAGCGTCAATGGCGGAAAATCGCGTCCTCAGCATATTGGATTTAGTTGATATTTTACCTGAAAAAAAAAGATATATGACCGGCGATGTACCCTATTTGGACAGCTTGTCTAGCGAAAATTAAGTACAAAATAAAAGGATATATCGTCAATTTGAAGAAGTTTCTCATAGTACCCAAAGTAAATTTATGGTTTATCTTTGAAAATTAAGCAGTCATTGCTTAAATCATGTGGTGGGATCATCAGCAAGCAAGTATCGGGCAAATGATAATTAATGTCGCGGCGTCTTCAATTAATTAATTAAAGCAATTCAGTTCCATATGATGTTTTCATAAATAATATATAATGTACGCAATTAAATTAATAAGTTCTTCATCAAGATATATTTCAGTTGTACCAGCGTGTACAACTATACCGGAAGTGGGTATAACACGTCACAATCTCGGTCTCGTCTGTCTCGCGAGAATGACAGAACGCCAAAATGGCGGCGCCCACGAACTTATTTCTCAAGTAAAAAATAGTGTCTTTAAACACGAATTTCTCTCTTATAGGGTTGATGTCAATAGGGAAACTGTCATGGTTCCTCTTTTTAAATGATGAATATTTATATTAGACAGACATCAATCCATCCATTCTTATTCCTTTAAGAAATAACATCGGCCTGAGAGGTGTATATCGGCTATTTAACACTGGTTTGGAGTTTTGATGCGTAGGAATTGACCACGAAGGCCGTAGGCCTGAGTGGTTAATTCCTACGCATCAAAACGACAATACCGTTTTGATGTGACCAAATTCAATTCCTACGCATCAAAACTCCAAACCGGTGTTAAATAGCCGATATACACCTCTCAGGCCGATGTTATTTTGATTCTAACACGATGAAATAAGGAAAATCACTAATGTTATTTTTAAAGCGGATTTTCGTGTAACGCACCCTACTGTTGCGAAGATATAGAAATTATTAAACAAAAAAAAATAATAAGAAAAAAAGCGTTATTTTATCAAGTTTTCAACAATAAAAACTTACGTCGTATTGTGTTTACATCAGTGCCCAATTATCATTCTTGTCTGTATGAAATAACGTCAGCTTGTTTATGAATGAGTTGTTTACTAACTTAGGATGACGTCATTACGCTGCTTACAGATTGGCACCGTTTTGTCAAAATATTTATTAACTGATATGGATCTTATATGTGGCGTTAGTGTATGTGAGATATTATTTCGGTATTGTATGAAAAGAAAACATTATACGAACTGAAAATATAAAAAAAAATGTTTTTTATTGTTGCCTTAAATGCTTTGTAAACTATGCAATCGAGGGTGAAAACATAACAGCGCATATAAAAGTAGTCCTTAACCGGTGTTTATTGGCAGTTTAACACCAGTTTTTTCCTTCTTTGTCTATAGTGACAAAATCACGTGAGTGTTAGAATAAAAAATTAATAGCAGTTTTCCGGACCATTTTTATTTTGAATATAAATCAGTACCATAAAGCAATATTAAGATGATTTTATCAGACAAACAGAACTTCCCAACCTTTTCCGTGTCGCCTGCAAAAATATTTTCCGAAGTATTGATTCACCTAAAATGGGGTCTTAGTTATTGCGCATGGATATTCAAACTAAAATTCCCCAGGTGTTGCTTATTTTTGAATTTTTGAACTTTATTTTCGCAAGTTCCCTTATGTAACTTTTAATAACAGGCAAAACTTCAAAACATATAAATCGTTGTACTTTCTGAGGTGTTGTTTAGCATAGAAAACAAATGTTTCTCTGATTGATGAAGTAATGTGGATGCCTTACTGGTAAAAATAGACTGTACTGGACGAAAATGATAAACGACCGGAAAACTGCTAGGGGACGGAAACTGCTAGGAAACCAGTAGTCTTTAATTTTCCCAATCAATTAGGCATATAATTATAAGTAGTGTGATTTCCGCATTTTAAGTTTGTTAATAAATAGCTCTAGATATATTTATTTCCTAAGTCACAGCACAGGTGCTTGAAACAAACTTTTTAAAGTTTTATATGGGCTATAACCTATAATAAGATATAAGGTCTCCAACAGAACACAAACATCATGCTGAACAAACGAGAACACTGCTGCAACGACCAGATCACGGTTATCTCTTTCTGGCCGAAATTTGAAAGGATCAATCCAAGCGTTAACGCTTTTTAATTCATTAAAATTCTTAAAATAGCAAAGAAATGAGTAAAAGTTTCACAAAATGCAAATATTTTCAATCCATGTCGTTTTCGACGTCCAATCTATTCATGTATACAAACACGATTTCTGGTCGATTTCTACGAAATAAACAGAAAACGTCTAAAAGTTCCTCATTATTTTCATAAACAAACTCTTTTTCTATCAATCTGCGAAGTCTAAATTGAACTAGAGCCCTCTTTGTACGCAAATATTTAAAAATTATTGTTTGTAGAAACGGAAATCGAGTAAAGTGCGCCATTTTTACTTTGAAGTGACAGGTAAATGAAGCAAAGAAAT